TAAAATTCCCAATGTTTTAAATTTTATTTAATTCTATGAATTATTAATCTTTGGTTATCACTGTGGTATATTTCTGATAATGGTTCTTAAAAAAGTCAAAGCTTAGGAATTTTACTAAGATGATAAGAAAATAAGATTGTTTTCCAAAGTCTTTCTGAGTCTAAGAATAAGTACTGAAGTTTACAACGAATAAGTAAATACATTCTGGGAGTAACGTGTGCCAACAGCTAGCATAGCCTCCTCTTCTAACTTCTTCCCCATTCTTCCTCTTCCTGCTTCGTTTTCCTCTCTCTCCTTCTCCTTCTCCCTCCCCTCTCCTCTCCTCTCCATTCTACCACACAGAGAAAACAGGTATTGGCACACAGGATAAAAAGTGACTTTAAAACTAGACTGTATAAAATTTATAACATAAACACTGAAAGCTTTTCTTATAGAAAACATTAAGAATTTTTTCAACCAAAATAAAACTACCATTCTCATAGGGGATAACTTATAATTTTGTTTTATGATATATTTAAACCAACATATTAAGGCATAAAACTTTAAAATAATAAGAAGTCATGAGAGGTAGAAACTTTTCTTTAACTTGCAATAAAAATTTTTTAAATCACAGAGAAAATACTAAAATAAAGCATGCTGAAAGATAATTTGTTTTCAGATTTCATTTTCTTTAATGAACTCAAAAAGTATCCAATAAATCTATTTCATTAGTAAGGGTGATTTGCTTTTTGTGTAACTTTCAACAAACAGACAAAAAATTCAAAACCACTTTACATTTGATTCAACTTAGGATTTCTGACTGAGTGTTATGAATGAAAGCAGAAAAATATTTTTATCATTCATGGGGGAATTTTAAGAAATTTTAAAATCTAGAAATATTAGTCTTTCATTTAAAAAAATTTCTAGAAACCCATAAACAGCATTGGGCGCTTTAATAACCATAGGTTCATTTAAATTATATTTTATGAAAGTGTTTATTTTACCAAACTACTTTATCAAGTGGAATTCAAAAGAGAATGCTTAGTTGCCTCTAACCAAATTTGTCAGCCATGCAGTCCAAGAAAAGAGAGGATTCAGTTATTATCCCCATCTGTATGCTGTACCTCAGTAATGAAGGCTGAAATGCACCTCAGTCAGTGGCTTATTCAAATTAAGAATTAGATTTCAAAGTAAGTTTTCAAAAATAGTTATCTCATGGAAAATTGCATGATTAAATCACAAAACACCTTTCCATTGCATAATAATCACAAAATATAACAACATATCAGCATAAGTGGATGACATTTTTGAAGTTCCTAAAAAAAATGTTTTCTATATTGAGATATAGCAATTTGAGAAATTCCCCAAGATCTTTCTGTCGCTGAGAATATTTTGTCATAAAGAGATCATCTGAGTTTCCTTCTTAAACACGGACTATTCATATATAGGCAGCCTATGCATGGTTTTGCACACAGGTTTGACTCTTCTACATCCCTGGTCATTTTTTAAAGAGTATTTTTGTTTTTTTGTTTAGAAGAACATTTCAACATAGGGTTGTAAGACAGAAAGAACTTAAGTCACTACATTACCACTTTCCAGAAACAAACCTCCTGTGAAAGAGTGAGAGAAACAAGCTAGGGTACTCACAGCACCTCCAGGTCCCGCAGAGCTCTAAATGCCCCATCCTCAATGCAGCTGATCTGATTGTAATCCAGTTGCCTGTTAAACAGATTATAAGGATGTATGTAATTGAAAGGCTGTAGGTGACAGGAAGACTTCTGAAGGGACTGTGAAACGCCGACCACACTTCCTAAAATGCTCTCTCTTACACACACTCATCTGCTTCAGAATGTCACAAGCCACTCTGGACTCTATGCAGCTACTGAAACCTCTTTTTGTTCTGAACTGTCTGTGCAAATAGCAGCCCCTGGAAAGCTCCAGTAAATAATAACTGCACCTTATATTAAATGCCATAGGAATGCAATTTCATTACATCAAGAAAAGCTATCCATTAAGAGCTTTCAGCGTCATCTTGCTGAAACAATTTCATTAAGGTAAAGGACTGTAAATCACTTAATGTCACATGCACCCCCTCAGTGACCTAACAGAATCCATTTATCAGAGAAGCCCAGCTGCATGTTAATTCCACTATCCTTGGCAAGAAAGAGTAAGACTACTTTCAGGTTTCCATCTTTTAAAAGCAGTTTTCTTTCCAGAACTCCAAATTGAAAAAGAAATGTCACTCTTAGTATCTCTCTTCTATTCCCTACCAATAACGCACATTAGAAAGCTTGAAGTCATCCTGTATGAGGGGCTTCACTACCCTCAGAATTTGAATTCTTTATCATTACATGTAAATTCTCTAGAATGCAAATCTAGCATTCCTTTGAGTTATAAATCCTTCAGAATTGTGATTCTTGAAGAAAATAAATTTTTTCAGTATTAGGAAATTTAATAAAAAAATAAAAATAAATCATTAAAATGAAAAATAAAACTTTTGCCTTTCTCTAAGATACTGACTTTAGGCTAAGACAAAACTCCCATAAACTTCAGGTATTTTCTTAAGAGTCTGCATATATCTATAAAAATAATTTTAAATGTTGTTCTCAGTTCATTAAATAGACAATTCAAACAAATAACTCTTCTCCAATTGTTTAAGTACTGCATGTTAAAATACAATGGCGGAAAGAAAAGCAATGATGCTTGATGCTCTTTTACTGATGTTTATTTTTGAAATTCAAAGCTTTGCTGTTCATGTTACGAAGTCTACTTTCTTGGACTAAACAGCTGTGTACTAAGTACTATACACCCTCCAGGCTTGCTTCCATAAAGCACTTTTAAGTCTAGTAGCTTGATGCTTAGAGGAATTATTATTCTAGTAGAGAAAGTACATTTTAATGCTTCTCTTGAGACACAAATGAAATGTTTGATGAAATAGTCAGGTGAGTATTAGCTCTCCATGCATTGCTATGAGAATGCGGACATACAGGGGTGAAATTATGATCATAATACAGATGCATCTCATCCTTGTTTCAAGTTCAGAATTTGCCAAAAGGACTAATTTACATTTGAGGACTGCTCTTAAACAAGAGTTTGAACATTTCCTAAAACAGCTAATTTTCTTATGACTACTTAATAAAACTACAGTGATTTAGTATGGTGACTTTCAGAGTAAACTCTCCAGAGTCTTTACTTTAGAAATCAGGTACACAAAGACTATCTCATGAAATATACATCTCATTTTTAAACAGCTCTCCAAGGGACACAATCATACACAAACTACTTTGATGTCATGCAAATGGTGCGTACAATCGAGGATAACATGAAAACAGATGCACCTGGAGAAGATACAGTGTAATTGCTTTATAAACTTAGGCTTTCCCCCATGTAATAGCTATGACTCTGTACTGTAATAGCATAAACCATTTCAACTTATTAGGAAGTAATGCAGAACTATAATTTCATTTTCCAAGAAGACTTTTAAAGCCTTATGATATAATCTGGCTGCTATGACTCCAAGAAAACACTTAGATTCTTAAGGACTTTTGATTTTTAAAGATTAAATTCATTTAACAATTAAGTTAATAGCCTTTTTATTTCAAAGTGCTAAATATATATCTACACTACTATTCTCTAACCTCTTGAACAATTCATCAAAGCCATTTAAATTAGTACAATGGCATGAAGTGTTACTCTTGACATGCTACAAAAGAGAAATTGTTTCCAGACAAATTGGCAAAATCTTTTAATGCTATCAAATTTGCCTAATGCAGTCTCCAGGTTAATCTGTAAAAGGGTGAGCTGTATGTTTGCCCATATCTTATTATCCTTAGCTGTCAATGTATAAATCAGTGCTGACACAGCTTCTTCTAAATCATGCATACAATACACAAAGGGGAAGCACTAGCATGCCAGAAAGCACTCAAGCAAATCTTGTCCTACAAGGACTAAGAGACCAATCACTTTCCTCATGCCAGGCAAGTTGTATTACTGCTAGAAACTTCAGCAATTTTACTCCGTTTTAGTACTGTGTATAGCTACATACTACTCTTGAATCTTAAAAAAAAAAATCTAAGCTTTCATGCCTGTTGCGTTTAATAGGACATAAGTTTTCCTTAAAAGTTTTATGGATGTTGTTCTGTTTCAGAGGACATATTTTCTAAAAACAAAAATAGTTCTGAAGTTACTTGTACACAAAGATAACCAAAAGCAAACAGGTGATTAATCTCTTCATGAGTGGTGATTTTTTTTTTTTCTATTCAAGTGAGAGTTTATGGAAAGCTGTGTGCTCGCATGTCTGCTCATGAGACAACCTCTCCATGCAGATCTCCATTTGTCTGCATATGGTTCAGGATAAACAGTGTCAAAACTGTGCAAAAGCATAATTTATTTCAGAAAATCTGGCCTCTTTGCATGTACCTTGTTTCCCTCACTCTGCTCCTGTCCCTCTGAGTTGCCCTTCAAATCCTGGGAGGTTGCGCTTTCTGTAAACAAGAAAAAATCTGTTCTCGCCCATGCATTTAATGACAGGCTGACTTTCTTTAGATGGGATTTTCATTTCCACCACGGAATTCTTCTGAGTTAAGGGACTCGGAGGATGTGTCCTTTTTTCCCCTCACTTCTCCAAAGATTATTGTTGTAACTATTCAGCCAGTCACAGGGTAAATATTTTGGTCTTTATAGAGAATTGAATGAAAAGGGTCCAGTAGGCCAAAACTTTCTGGGGCTTTCACTGTAAATGGGCTACTTCATATAAAGGGTGGGGGAACATTTCTTATTTTCTGGAAAGAAACATTATACCACATCGGGTTTACTCATATCTTCAGTCAGCCTGGATCAGCACAAGCTTTTGTGTCTTTTCTTTCATTTCCTTTTGTGTCTGTTCAAATTTGAAACCCTTTCTCCATTTATATCCTTCACTATCCTAATTTGTACATTTGTGTTTTCAAGCACCGCTCTATCCAACACAAATAATCATGTTAAAAACATCATCATCATCTCTCTCAGCATTAGCCCTAAGATTCCCTTTTCTGCAGTGGAGAAAGCTCCTCTGATATTTGGGAAACTCCAAGCTGTCCATTTTTATTTTTCATAGCTTGGGGAAATGTAGTCTCAGACCAAACATTCTGCCGAGGGACTTGCACACTAGGAAGTATCACTCCGTGACTCACAACATAAAATTTCTGAAGCCGATTGGGTTTTATTTCATACTAAAAATAAATTAGTGTAGTCTCCAAGTACAGTTTATTATTAGCATGCAAATGATATATATTGTTTCCAAACTTAAGTTTAAAAGAGATACAATAAGGTTTATTATGGAGATACTGTATTATGTTGTTTAAGTACTTTAAAAATGTCCTATTTCCTTCCTTTAAAATTGAGCTACCATACTGTGTTTTAATCTGATGTAAAAAAAAATACTTTCTGGTGTTAAATTAACTGGTTATGTCTCTACTCGTAGCAAACTGGTATTTCTCTACAGCTTCTAAGAAATATGATCAATTACTCATTGGCTTTCAATTAGAACATGTAAAATACACTTAACTGTGAAACAGCACAGAGCATTAAAATCCAAAATAATGCATTATCTGACAAGATTAACAAAACTTTCAACAAAGTAAGTATGTCTATGCTCGAGTTTGGTTGTATTTTGGGATCTAAGGGACTAGACACATGTGATGTTCATATTGCTATAGAAAGATGAATGTCTATAAATCTATATGATTTAAAACACATTAAAGTGGTAAAAATAATTAAAAAGAAAGAATATTTCATAATGTACAGGAACCTGATAAAAATGTATTGCATGGGGAGTAAAGAAAGAAAAGTCTCTTAAAGGTATTGACACAGTATCTTTCTGTATGGATAAAATCCAATACCATGTAAGTTTCAAAATATATAAGCTCCACTCCAATTGTTATTTTAAACTATATTCTAAAATTTATATTCCAATATATAAATAATACAAAAATAGTAAAACTTGTGTCACATAAATAAACACTTTCAACATAAATTTAAACAACCACATCAACTACATCATTTCTGTCAGAATAAGAGCACATCAGTGTGAGCCTGGTCATGGTGAAGTCGATGATCAAGTGAAAAACTATTCTGAGAAACTAAAAATAATTTCTATTTCTTTAGATCTTTTTTTTGGTCTTTTTTGAGACAAGGTCTCCCTGTAGCCCCAGCTCTCCTGGGATTCACTATGTAGACCAGGCTGGCCTTGAACTCACAGAGATCCGCCTGCCTCTGCCTCCCAAGTGCTGGGATTAAAGGCGTGCTCCACCACACCTGGCAAGATTTAATCTTTTTACAGTCTTTCAGTCAGTGTTTAGTATATCTAAGGAATATGCAATCTTCACTTTTATTTGAAAATTCTTTATTACAAGTTTATATATACTTTTCATTTTTGAGGAGCCTACAGGTTGGGAGAAATATTTTTTAACAGATATTGGAGGAAAGATGACTTTGTTGATATTCATGTTCTGATAATTCTAAATAAAAATAATCCAAGATGATAGAAACTAAGAGATTGATATTAATACTTGATTATATTTCTTGAATACACAGCATGGTACTGTCAGATTGTATATCATCTAATCATCTTTCTTATGAATTTAAAAAGGTAATTATTACTAGCATCTCAATTTTATGAGAAGATGTGACTCACATAGTCGAAGAACTTATACATAGTAAAGAGCAAATATTTTATTAAT